GCTGGTGGCCAGCTTCACTGTGACTTCCCTCTTTCAGCTGTCTAGCTGCCACTTTGATTATCACCTACTCCCTGGAAAACCCCAAGGCCTCTGCCTCTCAAGCAGGAGACCATCTGCTCTTTGTGCCCCCTTGACAGTAAATACCAAAACACTATTTTCTCCCCAAAGAGCCAAGGAAGTAGGGCCTGGGAGATGAAAATGACCTTAGAGATGAGCTAGGAATGAGGAACAAGGAAGGACTGGACCCAAAAAGCAAGGAAAGGTACAAATCCAGCCAGGAAGCCACCAACCGACCCAACAGTGGGTTAGGTGCACCTGATGTCTATATTGTTCCTGTAAACTCTAATACAGAGAGCTGAGGTTCTCTGTCTGTGCTAAAGGAGAGGCTAAGGCACCACAAAACAAAAAGCCAATGGGGGGTCGGGGGTGGGGGATATATTGACAATATCCCTGAAAAACAACACAGTTGATCTTGCTCCGGGGGAAAGCTTTTTAGTTACAGAAACTGAAAAGTGAAAGAGTGTGAAATATCTGTTAAGAATGCCCTTTGCCCCAATTTCAGAAAGACAAAGAGTGTAATGGCCAGTTTGTCAGACTATTGAATTCAGGGTCACTCATCGCGGAAAACCGGCACAAAAACCAAAGTATACAAGCTAGTGCAGACTCGGGCTGCACCCCTATTATGGTGGTTTCTACAGTGGCCAATCCAGAAAGAGCATGGAAAAGACCCTGCCACACCTGTGTACCTGCAGGCAGGTGGGTCCTTATGGCCGGCTTGTCACATACATCAACTTTAAACACCTGGACAGACTGGCCGCCCAAGGCTCAGCAAGAGAAGGGCATGCCATCCCGGCTGGATAACGGCTTTGGGAGCACCACGCTTTGTCTTCAAGTGGCCAGATCTTGCTCCTCCCTGAGGATGGCTATATTAGTTCCGAAGACACAGTAAAAGACATGCTTCAGATAGGATATCACTAGACAGCTCATCAAAATAGATTTATTAGAGATGCAAGACCCAGTGCCGAAGGACGCACAGGTGGTCAACAGCAAAAAACACCACTACTGGGCGCCTGGGTGGCTCAGTGGTTAAGCGTCTGCCTTCGGCTCAGGTCATGATCCCAGAGTCCTGGGATCGAGCCCTGCATCGGGCTCCCTACTGAGCAGGGAGCCTGCTTCTCCCTCTGCCTCTCTCTCTCTGTCTCTCATGAATAAATAAATAAAAACGTTTAAAAAAAAACACAAAACACCACTGAAGTGAAAGGAAAAAGATCTCCTAGACTATTTCTCTGAATTCGGGGGGTGGGGAGACTGCAGACTTGCACTTCCTTTCTGTGCACGGGGCTCATCAACGTTCATCAGTATTGTACAAACATAACAGAATGAGGTGCAATACAATGTACATCAGTAAAACCCACTGGGCCGCAGCTGCTACAGTTGTTTTGCTGTGGAGCCGCAAGTCCATCCGTCCTCCCCACGCTGCCCTCCTCACGCTGCCCCACGGTATGAAACAACCTGGCTAATCTTACATGAGAGAAGATTCAGGCCTGTGGAAAATTTGGGGTCCCTCGGCTGGGGAGGAGGGGGCATTGGCCAAACCTCTACTTGAGACCTGTGTTCCAGACAACCTGGTCACCCTGGTCCCGGCAACAGCCTGCAGGGACCCAGCACCCCGCAAAGTTACAAGGCGGAGAGCATCCCTATCCCTAAACGGTGAATTCCACTTCTGCACAGAGCAGCTTGCCGCCTGACGGACCACACATACAAGGAATTAGGAAATAAAATCAAAATGTTTTTACCAATTTGCTAACTGTGAACAATCCAAATGATGGTCATTAATAAATTTTTTTTTTCATTTTAACGCTTGGTATGTGCCAGGCACTAGGTGCTTCGGGCGACCGTTGCCTCTGAGGTAGGTAGAACAATCCTCACTATACAGACGGAGAAGCTAAGGCACCCAGGAATGAAATCGGTGCTGTGTACCAGGGCTGGTATTTGAACCCGGCAGTTTACTCTGGGGGCCACGTTTTAACCACTGCACAGAGCCACCCCAAATCAGGGCAGAGAGACGGGGGCAAGCAGGTAGGCTCCAGAAACCCAATGGCCGTCTTGTCAAACGCTTTTATACGAGGCCCGAGAGGCTCCTTCTGGACGAAAGAGAACTGATATTAGCAGCTGGTGAGTGATATGGGATTAGTCCCCACTCTCTTGCTTTTTTATGAATCATCAGCCGGAATGAACCGTGTTCTCTGGTCTGCAAAAAGAGGGTCAGGAAGACTGTGTGCACGCGAATGGCATGCCCCCCCTTACCAGGAAGGAGGCAGTGCACACAGCCGTTTCTGGGGCTGGAGCATCCTGGGCCTGAGGACATGTGAACTTGGTTCTGTCCTAGGTGCATGAGCTTGGGGAATTTACTTCTCTAAGGCTCAGGGTTCCCATCTGTAAAATGGGGATAACCTCAGTCCTGACTTTATGGGCTTGTTTTTGGGGTTAAGTGAATTCATGCACAATAATCAGAAAGTATGTACACAACAACCATCATCGCTGGAGGATTTTAAAATTCCACTGATAAGAACTTTCTTTAGCCATATTCTGAGATTCTGCTCACCATCAACACTCCACAAGCCAACAAGTGCCACAGAAAACATAATAACCGCAGTCAGCATCCACGTGCCTCCCAGTACCAACAATGGGCAGCTTACACGAATTCCCCAGTTACTACTACAAGGCAACCCCTACTTCAATAATCCTGTCTTTGCAAACGTTTTCGTGGTTCTTCAAAGCCTTCAGCAGTCACTAATCCATTAATATTTCTACCAAGGAATTTCTAAATCTAACAACACAGATTTCTAAAAGTTCTCTAATCAATCGATGGCAGATTGGGAACAGATTTCTGGGATCTGGCCTTCTGCAGCCACCCTTTGATAATAGGCTTCCCCACATGGCCATTTTTGAGAACCATGTCTCGCTTCCTTCCAGATACAAGAACTGGGGCCTTCCCGTGGTAAAGAAAGATCGGTAAAACCAGAGGGGGATGGGGGGAGACCAGCCCAGCTTCTCCTAGGAACTTGGTGGGCAGGAAAACAAACTTCGGAGTGGTGAGCGAGAACATATTATGTTATTTTCCATCTCCGAAGAGAATCTGAACTAGACTGTGGCCAACATATGACACCAACTTCCGAGTGTGGGAATAACAGGATTTCAAGATTCACCGGCTTCTGGCCAGGTCCCTGAGGTTATATTTAGCAATCTTAAATTGCCTATTTTTTTTCTTTCTCCTTTTTTCTACTCTTTCCTTCTTTCTTTCTTCTTTTAAGTAAAGAACAAGGGGGAACAGCCCGGCCTAAAGGAAGTGAGTTTCCTGACATGCGGTTCTTTACAGCCAGATCACCGACCCTAAGGCCCAGCAATGCTGAGAGCGCGCGCGCTGCTGAGCCGGGAAGCACACTTCGGGGGGCTGTGTCTGCAAACGGCGGCCCCCTGCAAGTTCTCCTTCGCGTGCTCTGACGATCCAGCCAGACAAAGACCGCAAGTTCTCCGGTCCACGGCTCCACACACGCGGGGAGGGAGTCTCCCCGAATTAGGTCCACTCCCGGCCCGGGGCGCCCGCACCCGCCGCGGAGGGGGTCCCCGGGGGGCTTCTGCGTGATCCCGCGCGCTCCCACGCCGCCCCGCTCCTGCCCCGGCCCCGCGCCTC